GATGCTGAGGGTGGTGTGGGGGATGGTGAAGCTGAGGGTGGTGGGGGGGGGTAGTAAGGCTGAGGTTGTGGGGGTAGTGAGGCTGGGGGTGGTGAGGGGGGTAGTGAGGTCAGAGAGATCAGATGAGTCCTTCAGGACTGTAGTGGTTACTGAATACACTAGCCTAGCTATCAATTTCCCTATCAAATCAGCAGCAGCTACACTGTCCCTCCTCTCACTAAGAATGCAGCTTCACAATGAATGTAAAATGGATGCTGTCCATCCAGGAGGTGGGAGGGTCTGGGAGTGAGGGTCTGCTGCTGATTGGCTGGAATGTGTCTGCTGACTGTGAGGAACAGGGTCAAAGTTTACTCAATGATGACGAATAGGGGGCGGACCGAACAGCGCATATGTTCGCCATCCGTGGCGAACGCGAACAAGCGATGTTCGCCGGCAAACTATTCGGGACATCACTAAAAACAAGTAATGGTCCAGGTACTCTAGGACAGCAAAAATAAATTAAAAAAAATTAAAAAAAATATTGCTTTATTGGGGCAAAAGCAGCAACATTTGGACCCTACCGGATCTTTATCAAGTTGTAATGACCCAGTAGGGTTGAAACGCTGCTGCTTGTGCCTCAATAAAGCTGCTATTTTTTTTATATGGCGGATTGCCTTGACCCTTATTTTACATATCTGGAATGGGGGCTTGGCCAGCCCTGGCTCCGGAGCACCTGGGCTGCTAGATGAGTGCGGTATCCAGTACGTTCCCACTTGTTATCCGATAATGTACATTTTATCACTCATACTCAATATTCCCAGCCCCACCGGTTCTGATTTGATACGGAGAGCTTATACAATGATTGTATTGATTACAGTGAATCTACTTTGGAAACCTGGCTCAGATGATACGATCATACACTTTTTAAAGGATTCTTTTTTTTTTTTTGCTGTGCAGGTGGGTACAAGGAATCAACAGACGCCACAACAGCGTATTGCAAGATATACAATGGTTAAACAGTGGCATGAGAGTCTGCACATTTTTATATTTTTAGCAAGCTTGGCTAAACAGTTGCATCGTTAGCGTGAAGTTAAATAAGATACAGCAAAATAATTTATGCTTAACTTGTCTAAATCGGCATTTGTGCTAGGCATATGTGTGAGAAACAAAACAGTGAGCTTATTTTTTTTAGCTAAGGTCATCATCAAGAACAGATTTCTATAGGCTTAATTAAGTTTAACCACCAGGGGGCAGCAGAGTGGGATATCCGTGCAAGCTCAGACATTTTAATTACTTTCTAACTGCAGGAAGAGACTCTGCTGTAAAGACACACATTAATATTGTAGATAAGATACTAGATTAAGAGGTACACCATCGTCTGGTATAACTTTAGGCATATATGGTTAGAAACCACTTGATCCCTCCTGCAGCTGTGCTAAATCTGTGATTTTAGCTGGTTATTTCAGTGTGTGGGGGCTTGACAGTCAGGAGTGGAGTGAAGGCTTATTCCCCATTTTCGTTGTTCCCTTGTACTCAGGCAGAATCAGAGTCCAGATAGAGTCCCCTTATATCCACTGGTGTTAATGAGAGGTGATGCCTCTGTTGGTGTGAGTGTTATAATACTGAGCTGGGCTTGCTTGTGGAGTATATCCCTTATACAGTTATCCTGTTGGTGGAAGGAGCACTCCGTCTGTCTGCCGTTGCTTTGGTACTTCCCCCTCACTTCTCCGTCTCACATTGAGCGCGGCGGCCATCTTCGTTTTTCCCATGCGGTCCCCACTCAGTCTTTCTGCCGCCTAGATGCCCTGAACGAGCGCTGCTTCCCCGGCCCACGGGGGGGGTAGCGGGGCCCTTAGCAGGCGGCGGGAGGTCCTACCGGACCAAGCACGGGAGATTGGACGCTTCTCCCGCCAGGGCCTCACAGCAAGCCGCAATCCCACTCGCCCACCAGACCGCATCGCCAGCCGAGTGGGGGCTGATACTTGCCCCGAAGGTTGTTGGTCGGGTCCCCTTTGCCCTCTCACGGCAGCTGAGGATTTTCCAGGCAAGAAAGGGCATTTTTAAGCTGGTCATCGCCGGTTTATCAGGGAGCCGAGGTGCTCCACGTCTACCCAGCTCGACGGCCATGCCCCGCCCCCTAAAGGCTTCTTTTAAATCCAATTCTGTGTGGACAACACTGATTGCAACTGCGTCAAAACAATTTAATTGCTTCGGTAAAAATCAGGAGGCTGCATTGCTGACCCACCCTTTACAAATAAGTAGGTTAGAGAAAGATCTATCAGATGACGTGGAACAAAAATAAAGAAAACCATGGCAGCATTTCTCAGAAGAGAACTGCCATTTTACTATGTGCCCCTCTCTATATATATCTGGGAGCCATTTAGAGATGCAGTACAAAATGCATTTTCAAAATATTTTTCTACGATTTTTAGTGCAAATTATATTTTTTTTCTTAGCTGGTGACGTCCAGGAAATCCTCCTTAGGGGATGGGTGTGGGTGTCAGGGTGACAAAGCCAGATTGCTTGGCTTGTTTGTTTTTTGTTTTTAAATTAATATTACAATTCTACTTTTAATTATATTTTTATAAAATTATTCAATCGCCGTAATCACCTGGACATTTCTGAAGAGCTCGATATTCTGACAAACATGGGATTATTTACTAAATAATTGAGAATCTATTGAGCAAAATAACCAACAAACATATAGAGGAATTAACTTTTTAATTAGGAAAAAACAAAAGTGGCTTTAATTTAACAATATTTACAAAATCACCATAATACATTATATACAATAGTCTTACAGATTCCCGTCAGCTGAACCCATTATTTTACAGTTTAAAATGGGTTTTATTGAACCAGCATACCATATCGTCAACACAGCAAAGATCAAATCATTGGGTTTGTGATAAAGACAGTTCTTTCCATGTAAAATGTACCACATCTTGCAAACCGTGAACTGTTTACAGGTACAACTGCAATCATGTAACCAAATTCAGAATAAAAACATGAAAAAATCATTCTGAGCTAGTCTGGAACCTCACACTCACAGAAAGGTTTGTGTAATTCTGGGTGAATATTCAAATTGTCACTGGAAACATTTGAAACCTGGTTGTCACTGGAAACCTTGGTCAAGCCTTAAATGAAAAAAAAACAACAACAAAAAACGGGTTACTTGTGTATCTGTTTTAAGAGTGCTCCAGTAGTGGAACCGTGCACTCTGTAGGCTGTATAATAGGAGAATGTATTTACTTAAAGGACCACTACAGACACCAAGATCACATCAGCTCAATGAAGTGGTCTGGGTGCCAGGTCCCTATAGTTTTAACCCTGCAGCTGTAAACATAGCAGTTTCAGAGAAACTGCTATGTTTCACTAAGGGTTAATCCAGTCTCTAGTGGCTGTCTCACTGAGTAATGCTTTCCTATGGGCGGCTTAAATGTGTGCACGGCTCTTGCCGCGCATGCGCATTCGGCGCTGACGTCGGCAGGAGGAGGAGAGTTCACAATCGCCGAGGGAGCCCAGTGCTGGAGAAAGGCAAGTGGCTGAAGAGGGGGCCATGAGGGTTGGGGGGGGCCTAATGACCCTATAGTGCCAGGAAAACGAGTTTGTTTTCCTGGCACTATAGAGCTCCTTTAACAATGAACTGTTGGAAAACAAAATTGCAAGTTGTAGGATTAAAAAAGCCAGTTGGTGTTAATTCTGGAACTCATTATTACGTTCTACATTTTGCAATTTGATTTTGCGTGCCCCACAGTTTCCAGTTTTTGAGGCTCTGTCACCCCCCTCCTGTCGCCCAAATATAAGCATTTAACAAGAGATAAAATCTTATGAAATGCTCATAAATACAGTGTTGAAATTTCATAGGACAAAGTAGGGACTATGTATTTTATTTCTGCTTGACAAAACGAGGAGCTATGGCCATCAAGAGACAGCTGTGGGAAAAAGGCATTATCGCGTTCATTGCGAGAAACTATGGAGGCCCCCCCGGTAAGATGATAACTCTTAGGAAAATACAAGCAGACAGCTTTCACAAACAAAATAAAACACAACCACTGGTTTGCCTGTTAATAAACAAAACCCACGTAAACAAGTTCACGTACTGATCGAAGGTCTACGTCGTAATGGCAGCTGAGAATCCTACACAAGGAGACATAGTCTATGTCAAATGGTCACTTGACAGTTAATTTGTTAAAATTAGTTAGAGCAATTAGTACAAATCAGTTTCATCATTTGGTGTTAATGACCGATATTTAATGCACAATATTGAGATCCATACGCTGTATAAGAAGTGGAAGCATGCAATCTACATGTGAAGTTGGAGCATTGTTAAAGCCGTACATAGCCAAAATATAGACTACAGTTAAAACTGTGTATACAACCAGACACGCCTGGAACAAAGGTTATGATGCCTGAATAAGGTATTAGAGAAAGTAACTAATCATACTGGACCAAAGGTAATCTTTACCAATACAGATACCCTGATAGCTTTAAGATAACCGTATGAACCATAAACCTTCGACACATTGAATACACTTAAATGTCTTTCTGATATACACAAAATATTTGTATTTATTTCACTTATATTATATTTTATACAATATTTGTTTTTTGCACAACAGGATGTCTATTTTTTTTTTTATTTTTTTTTAGAGGAGGTTTAATAGAACATATGAGCTGCCCTAAAAGGCAAAAGCAGATTATAATTAGTTATTATTAGCACATCTGCACATTTACTTTGTTAATGATCTTTTGGCTGTCGGACTGCTGCTTGTTGCCTTGTGACAGTCTCGCTTATCGCTACTGATCATCTATATTTGTCTGGCAATTGTCTATTTTAAGGGGACCAGAGGGAACTAAAAGAAGACAAAAGTGGGCTGAAACAGAAGACCGCCACACCTAGAAGACCGCCACACATTTGGCAAACTTGTTCTTCCAAAGCAAAGAACGTACTGCATTTCCACTTCACAACATCATCCGAGACACTAGACTATCTTTCGTTTTACTGCAGCTACAAAGATGGCTTGCCATCGTATGATATATGAACAGACGACAACTGCAATCCACCCAATTAATGATAAAATAAAACAAAACAAGTAAAATTAAAATGAAAAAACAAAAGTCAAAGAGTCTAACATTCCTCTCTGTTCATAAACATGGTTCCTGCTACACCAGTCCACAATTGTCTTATGATTTTAAATTCCTTATATCATGAAAAAAATACAACAACAAAACAAACCATAGCCACTCAAGGTGTTTTCTGTGCTGGTTTATAGATGTGTTTAATCACCACGTTAAATAGATTTTAAAAAAAATAATTTAAATTATCGTGCATTCTGGGAAAATTCTAATTTAAATGTGGTCATTAAAAGTTAACTTACACATCATTACCTTTTGCTTTAAAATGCCTACACAATACTGTGTTTTAATTGTGTTGATTGCAATGTTTTACTTTTTGTTTGGGGATGGGGAATTTACAGATTGTGGGTTCATAGAAACACCTCATCTGCCAAGTCGTAGCCTTTAAACTATTCAGCTGTTTATTAACCAATTTAAGCTTCTACATTCAGTTGAATTTCATGCTTAATAAATCTTGCTTGTTTTTTTTTTTGTTTTTTTTTCCCATTCAATAATTTCTGACTTAAATGTCAGGAAGATTCAATACAGAATTGCGTGCGTTAACAAGGTTCCTAAAGAAACCTTAAATGCTCAGGGTTTCAGCTTCAGCCATGGATGTACGATGGTCAGGATGGACAGTATGGAAGAAGTAAGACCACACAGTCCAACAAATCCAGGGTTTGTCTTGCAAAGACCCAGTTTGTCCAGTGGGATGAAAAGATCACAGGTGTTCTTCAAAACATCGAGAAGGAGCGGTGGATTGTTCCTCAAGATGTGAATGAGAAGTCGAAGTTGGATGCCCACGAGATGGTGTGGGGGGAGCTTTTTCTGAGGGACTACTCCATTCTCAGCACTCACTTTGCTAGCAGAGCACTTGCTGTTGCATTCCACCTCCATGAGAAGTTTTAGCTCATAGAGATCTCGGCTCAGATTCATGATGAGGGAAAATAAGTAATATCTGAAAGAAAGAAAGAAAAAAAAAAACCCACAACAAAAAGTGGAGTTAGAAGAGGTAGACTGACCTCAGTTTACCTGTTGCATCTCTTCCATAAAACATTGTGACTCTGGTACCTGGTTGACGTCTCTAAGAAACTGTGTTATATCAATGCCAGAACTACCATCAAATTTAAGAGACAAAGTACAAGTAAAATAAATATAAAAAGTAAGCTAAGACACAGAAGCAAAAGGGAGAAAGAAACATAGCAAAATTACAAAGATGAACATTTCCCAGGAAAGGTAGAAGCCCAATCCCACCTGAAGGAGCGCTGACTCCACTTCTCCTGGTCCATCTTCTTGGACACGCCAGTCTTCCCCAACCACAGGATGTTGTCACAAGCAAAATACATGGCTCTGTTAAGATGGCTGACTGTTATACAGAAGCGCAGAACCACATCGGAGAGGTGGATTGCACGTTTGGCAGATTCCAAAGCATCCACAGAGTTCCCAAGACGGAACACTGCAAATAAACAAAGACACTGGTAAGAGCATGGTGACAGACAGTGGACATAAGAAGTCCTTTAAACACACAGTGAAAAAAACCAGCAGACTTACATTTCCTTGCCAGGCTCAGGTGGCCCTCCAGTTGTTTTATAGTGGTCACCAGTTCAGCACCGGCTCCATTTTTCTGGAGTGTGTATCCCAGTAAAGTACAGGCATACTGAGCAGCTCTAGTGAGAAAAGAAAATTTAAATCCAAGTTTCATAAAACAACTGCTTGGTGCAACTGAAATCCATTGTGAAGTGTATTGGGAAGTAAATTGAAGAGCCATCGTAAATTAGGAAAAAAATTTAGGCCAAAACATCAAAGCTGAAACAACCACGTTGGAGATGTTCAATAATGCTCTATTTTGGTCAAAAATATGCAGTTCTCTTGGCATTTCTCCACAATTACTGATTTTGTGATTAAATCCCATTCAGGGTTATTCACAAAACCAGTGATTATCAAGAACTGGCATAGGAATTTCAGACTAATGTAAATGTCAAGAAATCCTAGGTTTGTAACCAGTTTGCTAAAAATAAATCAATAAAACATTCCAATACCCAAAAAAATAAATCTGAACAAAATGGATTGCCTAAAACAAGGGTAGTCAACCTTGTCCTTACCAGTTTGGGATTTCAGATGGGCGGTGGTGGGTTCTGTGGAAAACGCCTCGATGGCCATTGGCCAAGGCTGGCAGGGGAGATCCATTCATCTCCCCTGCCGGCCCATGCAGAGCCAAGCCTTGCTGTAAGCACTCTCATGCTGGTGATGAGATCAAACATCTCCCTAACCGGCTCGCTGGCACTTATTTCCAGTAGAGGGAGGGAAGGGGTTGGGAGGCTCTATGTTCCTCCCGCAATCAGGCTGGTGAGAGCATTGCCGCACATTACCATGGCAACGCTCCGATACAGTGCTGTGCTCGCAGGAGGACAGGAGAGTCAGCCTGCAGCCAGATGAGTTCCAGGCTAATGTGAACATGCCACCTCTGGACCACCAGGGCTTGCAGCATTATGTCCCCGCTCCCTGGTAAAAGGTAAGAAGGGATGAGGAGACATTAAGATAGATGATCACATCTCACCCACCTACACACAGCATAGACCCTATGCACCTTTCACACATAAAACACATTACACCACACACACAAAAAAAGTAGAATAGAAAATAGAAAAAATAAATAAGAAATTTAAGTACATATTTTTTTATTTTATTTTTTAAACCCTCCTTTCAAAAAAATTTTTAAAAAATTAAGGGAAAATAAGAAAACCAACGCACTCGCTCTAAAAAATATGTAGCTGCAGCACTGGTGGGTGGTACGTAAATTTTACCATCAACAAATATAAAAAAATGGGAGGTAACTATTAAAAGTGGATTACCCCTGGCCTAAATGTAAATGACAGACTGAGCTAAGTGGGTGATTGGATCAATGTGTTTCTTGCGGCAGTACATACCCTCTTAATATATAACCTTTATCAAATACTCACGTTGACTGCATACAAATGTTCTGTAAATTCAAGATATGAGGCCAAAATAACATTTCTCTTTAAAAAGTCCCATTTATGCCTACAATTTGCAGTTCTTTGGACCAGTCCTAATTTTAGTGACTAACCCTAAATTGTGACTACAGATCAGACCCAAACTTGCCCATATACCGGGTAATCTCAAAGTCCTAACTTTGTACATGTGTCTAACAATCCTCAGCCCTTGTAATATATTAGACCCAATAATTTCTAGTCCGCAACAACAAAAGCAAAAATAAATTAAATACTATGTTTTAATCTGAAATGGTTACAATAGCCAATTCCTAAGGCTATCTTTAAAAGTCTACATAAACAGAACTCAGTCAAGACAAACATTTTAATTAAAAAAAAAAAAAAATTGAGAAAATGAAAAACAATTTCTTCTGAGTGGTGGATGAAACTCCTCAGCAATCATTTCGGGAGTTTTGAAACATATATTTTATGTATTAATGCTGTAAACAGCTGTTACAGTTATGATTTATCATCCATAAAAATAAAATGTCTGAGATACCCCCAAAAAACTATTTTTAATTAAACCCTTATGCGGTTTCTTGCAACCAGACCACTTGTATCTGCAAAGGGGCTCTTGCTCTTTGCAATGTTCCAGAAGGAAAGCAAATTTATTCTCAATTATGCAACACACTTTGTTGCTCTGAATTTGCCAATTACACATCACAATGCGATCACATGTCTTGTACCAAAAGTGTTACAAATATAAAACACATGGGTTACCTTGAAATACAAAGACAACCTTTCAGTCTGAAATGGGAGCATTAGCATGACAAATAATGTTAGATGGTGGCATGATTTATGGGCCAAAAATATGGAAATAAAATAGACAAACATCAGAAGAATTTATAAAAGAAACATTAATTACTACATGTTTAAATGCACGTAGAGGGTAGGATTAAATGGGATACTTTAGCTTTATTAAGCAGTTTTGATTTCTACAGTATGCTCCTTCAGTTTCACTGCTCAATCCGCTGTCAAAGTGGAGTAAATGTTTTTGTCCATGCAGCCCTAACCACACCTCCCATGGCTGTGACTGACACAGCCTGTATATAAAAAAAATAAAAAGGTTTAATTTTTCCAATCAGAAGTTAACTTGCTTTAGAAGTTATCTCCTGCTCTGTAAATTGAACCTTAATCACACACAGGATGCTCCTGCATGATCTAGTAGGCCAATAGCAGTACAAGAGATAAGACATTCTAAATAAAATTACTGTGGAATAAGTATATGCAGAATATTTGTGTATCCTTTTACTGATGCTTTACATATTCTTGATGTATCACTGCACTTCAAAATTAAAATTATAAAAGAAAATACTGTGTAACAAGGGAACATAAAATATCTAGGTTCTTTTACATTAAGTGTTTAGGAAGGCTGTGCAAGTCACAAGCATGGAGCTGTGACGGTGGCTGTATTTTCTATACATCAATCTCACTCCTGTTTTCCACTTCTGTATGTCGTGGTTTTAGAAGTCCCACAATTGCAGGACTTGATGATCACAGTGAGACCTGACTATTGCTGGACGTCTCACTATTGAGGCTGTTCCAAACATCAGGTTGCTTTGGCACAGTACCAGATGCCCTATTTCAGAAGAAAATCACCGGGAGTCAAGCCAATTGCAGCTTACAGAGGGGGAATTGCTATATTGTAGCATTGCTCAGACTTGAGGCTGCCAACATTACATTTCCCAAGGTTAACCTCATTATTATTATTATTATTATTATTGCCATTTATATAGCGCCAACAGATTCCGTAGCGCTTTACAATATTATGAGAGGGGATTTAACTATAAATAGGACAATTACAAATAAACTTACAGGAACAATAGGTTGAAGAGGACCCTGCTCAATCGAGCTTACATTCTATAGGAGGTGGGGTGTAAAACACATTAGGACAGGAATTTGCAATCAAATAAGGTGGGCTGCCCTTTTAGAGAGGGCAAGAGACAGGTATGTGAGGTAGGGGTTAGTCTTGGAGGCCATAAGCTTTCCTAAAGAGATGGGTTTTAAGGCACTTCTTAAAAGATGCAAGGCTAGGGGAGAGTCTGATGGCGGGAGGCAGGCTATTGCATAGGAAGGGAGCCGCCCGCGAGAAGTCCTGCAAGCGCGAGTTGGCCGTACGGGTGCGGACAACGGACAGGAGGTGGTCACGGGCAGAGCGGAGAGACTGAGAAGGGACATACCTATGGATCTGTGAGGAGATATAAAAGGGGCTAGAGTTGTTCAGTGCTTTATAGGTGTGAGTTAGTGCCTTGAATTGACTCCTATAGCACACAGGAAGCCAATGTAAGGATTGGCAGAGGGGTGAGGTGTGAGAGAACCAACTAGAGAGGAAAAATCAGTCTAGCAGCAGCGTTCATTACAGACTGTAGGGGTGCAGTACGGCTTTTGGGAAGATCAAGCAGGAGAGGGTTACAATAATCCATGCGGGAAATTACTAGAGCATGGACAAGCTCCTTGGTAGTATCTGGTGCAAGAAAGGGGCGGATGCGGGCTATGTTTTTAAGATGGAATCTACAGGATTTGGCAACATGCTGGATGTGAGGCTCAAAGGTGAGACCAGAGTCAAGTGTGACGCCAAGACAGCGCGCTTGCAAGGATGGGCTGATGTTGGTACCACAAACTTGAAGGGAGAGCGAAAGAGGAGGATCAGTATTAGGAGGAGGAAAGACAAGGAGCTCAGTTTTTGAGAATTGAGTTTCAGAAAGCGGGAGGACATCCATTCAGAGATGGAAGAAAGGCAAGCAGTGACACGTTGCAGGACAGCAGGGGAGAGGTCTGGGGAGGAGAGATATAGCTGGGTGTCATCAGCGTACAGGTGGTAGTGGAAACCAAATGAGGTAAAAAGTTTGCCAAGAGAGGCAGTATAAAGAGAAAATAGAAGGGGACCAAGGACGGAGCCTTGGGGGACTCCAACCGAGACAGGGCGAGGGGAGGAGGTATCATTAGAAAAAGAGACACCGAATGAGCGTTGGGAGAGATAAGAGGAAAACCATGAGAGGACAGAGTCACAGAGACCAAGCTATTGCAGAGTTTGAAGAAGGAGAGCATGATCAACGGTGTCAAAGGCCGCTGAGAGGTCAAGAAGAATTAGTATGGAGTAGTGGCCTTTGGATTTAGCTGCGATTAGGTCGTTAGTAACTTTGATAAGAGCAGTCTCTGTAGAGTGGAGAGGGTGGAAGCCAGATTGAAGGGAGTCAAGGAGATAGTTGGAATTGAGGAAATGAGACACACGGGTAGAGACAAGTCTTTCCAGAAGCTTTGAGGAAAAAGGGAGCAGGGATATGGGACGGTAGTTAGAGTGGGTGGACGGGTCGAGGGATGTTTTTTTTAGTATAGGTACTACAGTGGCATGTTTAAGGTCAGCAGGGACAGTGCCAGAAGAGAGCGAGCAGTTTAAGATGTGTGTTAGAGAAGGCACGAGACAAGTGGAGAGAGATCTGATAAGGTGAGATGGGACAGGATCGAGCGGGCAAATGGTGGGGCGAGAGGAGCAAAGAAGAGCAGCCACCTCTTGGTCAGTGGCTGGGGAGAATGTCTGAAGGGTAGGAAAGGCATGATCTATGTGTGATTGAGAAACAGAAAGGCAAGGAGGGGAGAATTCTTTCCTTAGCTGTTCAATTTTGTCAGTGAAGTAACATGCAAAGTTATCAGCAGTAAGGTTGGTTTGGGGGGTGGCCACAGCGGGGCGAAGAAGGGAATTAAAGGTGTCAAAGAGACGCCTGGGGTTGCTGGAACATGAACTAATGAGAGAGGAAAAATAGGACTGTTTGGCAAGGACAAGGGCTGCACTGTATGAACACAATATGAATCTATAATGGAGAAAGTCTGACTGGGTGCGAGACTTCCTCCAGGAGCGTTCAGCACAACGGAAGCATCTTTGCAGGTAGCGCGTTGATTTAGTATGCCATGGTTGGGGGCGAGTCCTCCTTGAGGAGCTTGTTTGGAGTGGCGCTGCAGTGTTCAAGGCAGATGTAAGGGTAGAGTTATATATGGAGATGGCCAGTGAAGGACAGGAGAGGGAAGGGATGGACAGCAGTTGTGAATCAATGTCAGCTGACAACTGTTGGAGATCAAGAGAATTAAGGTCCCTCCTGAGTTGAGGGTGGTTAGGCGGAGGTTGTTGGGTGAGGGGGTACGTGAGAGCAAACGATAAGAGGTGGTGATCAGAGAGTGGATATGGAGTGTTGCAGATATTAGATACAGTACATGCATAAGTGAAGATTAGGTCAAGGGTATTGCCAGCTACATGGGTGGGAGAATTTGCCCACTGTGATAGCCCGAGGGAGGAAGTAATTGAAAGTAGTTTATTAGCTGCAGAGGTCAAAGGTGGGTTTATAGGAATATTGAAGTCCCCGAGAATTAGGGATGGGATGTTAGAAGAGAGGAAATAGGGTAGCCAGGCAGCAAAGTGGTCAAGGAAGAGAAGAGGGGAACCGGGAGGACGGTAAATAACAGCAATGTTAGCAGAGAAAGGTTTGAAAAGGCGAACTGAGTGTATTTCAAATGACGAGAAAGAGAGGGAAGGGGGGGTGGGAAGAGGTTTAAAAGAGCAGTGAGGGGAGAGGATAAACCCAACACCACCACCTTTACATTCAGAGGGGGAGAGCCAGGTTTCTGTTAAGGCTAGTAAATCTATTGAACGAGAGATGAAGAAGTCATGGACAGCAGTGGATTTAGTTATATTGCAAACAGAGCGTGCGTTCCAGAGGGCAGTATTGAAGGAGGATTTAGAGGAACAAGAGATGGGTATGAGATTAGTGTGGATCCTTGGGTTAGTATGTGCTGAGTTTGTTGAGAGGGGACTGGGGTTTGGAGAGACATCACCAGCTGCTAGGAGCAGAAGGATAGAAAGGAAGTGAAGGTGGGAGTAGGATTTGAAAGTTTTGTAGGAGGGTATGTATGTAGAGGATTTGGGAAGAGTTGGTGGAGATAGGCTGGAAAGGTATGTGTAGAGTGCATGGGATGAATAGAGAGGAGAGGGGAGTAAGGTGGAAGTAATGATGATGGTGTTGCCAGGGACAGGTGAGTGAAAGGATAGGGATATTTTAGTAATGACAGAAGTTAGTGTTAAAGTGAAAAATAGAAGGGAGAACATTAGAGAAAATGTGTATTATATAGATATGTAGATCATATATACAAACACACACAAATATCAATGAGTGTTAAAACCATTGTAAGGATGCAGTGTGTTAAATGAATTCAGGTGAGGAGTGGTTTAATGACTTGATTGGTGTGTTATGGAATTCAAACAGAATGTGGTCTTCCTGATGTCTGGTTGGGTGGCTCATTCTAATAACTGTATTTTTCAACCAGTCCTGTACAGTATGTCATTCATTTCCATTTAGGCATGCTAGGATTAAAGCCCACTGTACACATAGCGATCTAGATTCCCCATAGCAAAACCCGACCATAAATTTAGGAGCATATAAACCACTTCCCAGGTGAGATAAGACACACGTTTGCATGAGTAGGATCTGTTGATGGGCCCATTTAAAGAGAGAGCATCTAATGTCTACTTTCCTAGAAATTTCATTTTCAGCTCATGCAAGGATTATTTTGGTATCTCTTGAAAAGACTTATTGGGCCTTATAAGTTATGTTGTTGTTTAAGTTTCTATTTCGCAATTTATTTTACATTTTGTATCTCTCATGTTAATTCATTTTTATTTATATTTTTACGTTTTATTTTTGGCTTTGAGTTGGTTTAACTCACTGCCAAACTGTTATTGTGGCAATCTATTTATATATATTGTGGTACCCACGCCTGGTTGGTATAAATGAAAAAGCTAACTTTTCACATCGACTGGTTTAGGCCAGGGCTGGAAAAATTTGTTTGGAATCTAGGAGCCAGCAAAAAAAGTTAGAAGCCATATTTTGCAGTGTCAAAATAGAATTCGTGAAGGGATACTATAGTCACCAGAACTAATACAGCTTAATGTAGTTCTGGTGTCTATAGCCTGTCCCTGCACACTTTTCAATGTAAATCCTGCCTTTTCTAAGAAAAGGCAGGATTTACATTGTTGCCTAGTAATACTTCTAGGGACAGTCACTCAGACGGCCTCAGGAGGTGCATCCTGGGTCACTGCTGCACAGTGCGCAGCACTTTTGTTCAGTGTCCCCACGCGTGCACAGAGGTGCTAAAGATTCCTCAAAGAGATGCATTGATTCAATGCATCTCTATGAGGAGATGCTGAATGACGCAGCTTGGCATTTTTTCACACATACGCAACACCCTCCCAATGCTTTCTTCTGGGAAAGCATTGGATTGGCTGAGATTCATGAAGATTGATGATTGCAGTCATGGAGGCAGGGCCAGCTAGGGCAAGACCAACACAGCGTGGGGAAAAAAGGTGAGTAAAAACCCCTTTCCCACCTAACCATACGCACTCACTGACAGACACACACATGCACTGATTTAATACACACAGAGAGACAGACACTCACTGTCACTGCAACAATCACATACATTAATAGAACCATCCAGCTTCCCTACCTTTAGGAAAGCTTTCATACTGCTTTCCCTAGTGTCCAGTGGTGTTTCAGTCATCATCCTGCCCTGCTAACTATAGCGTTTAGTGATGCTGGGGCCAAAATTACGTCACTTTACGGCTCCTGGCATCACTGGAGGGAGCGGAGCAGGAAGGTTACAGCTACCTCACACGCCTGCCCATCTGCCTCAACCTACCAGGAGCCTCACGTCTGCCTATGTCCTCCCTTTATCAGGCCAGCAGGCCGACCACCATCACGCCCATACTTTTACTCAGCAGACTGACCGACCGCGCTCTTCATGAGCAGTATGTCCGCACGTCCATGTTCTTCATGAGCAGGCCAGCTACCGGCCCATTGCAAGCCCCCCTCCACTCACAGGCAGCCAATCACATCGGGAATTGAACGTGCTGAAAATTACCAGTCGCCAGGACAAAAAAACCTAGTCGTCATGGCGCCTGGGATTTGTCGAGCCTTGGTTTAGGCCACAGCAAGACTTATTCATACACTGAGACACATTCATCAGAAATGTTATACATATGTTCGTCACCAGTCGGTAGATGCTACTTAACATCCAAGACGTACAGAATAAAAATGACCATCGAAACCAAAATAGCCTAAACCTCGTATTCAAATGACCCCTCTCCAAATTATATCTCAATCACATTCAAGCTTCACTCGATTACTTGATACCAATAGAAATTCACCTGGTTGGAATCTCAGAGACTGTCTCAATTACAGACATAGCACAATGCAGACTTAACAAAACATGTGACATGTGACAAAATGTGATGGTTAAATACCTCCTACAAAGGAAAGTAAGTGTGTCCCAGTGAAGGTAATATCCATATATGTTTGGTGACTACCAGCAATTTGTTAACGTAATTAAATGTTTTGCTTCTGGGAGGTTTAACCCCTTCAGGACGGAGTCAATAGTGCACGTTCTGATCAAAACAAAACGTAAACAAAAACTTGAATTTGCGCTATATGTCTGTTCAACCGTAATAAACCACTGTCACATTAAGTGCACCCACACTTATTATATATCATTTTGTTCAAGAGAAACAGGGCTTTAATTTATCATTAACTATTCATATATGGAACATAATTTATTATGAATAAAATTTTAAAAAAGTGAGAAAATAAGATTTTTTTTTAAATTTGTATTTCCGTCTGACATTTTAGCTGTGAATGTCATAATACTGTTAGGTTTTACTGCAAAAAAATGCACATATTTGTAATCAGCGATGTCTCACGAGTACAACAGTACCCCCCATTAACAGGTTTTATGGTGTTTTGGAAAGTTACAGGGTCAAATATAGAACGTTCCATTTTCAAATTGAAATTTGCCAGATTAGTAATGTTACCTTTGAGACGGTGTGGTAGCCCAGGAATGAGAATTACCCCCATAATGGCATACCATTTGAAAAAGTAGACAACCCAAGGTATTGAAAGTGGGGTATGTTTAGTCTTTTTTATTAGCCACTTAGTCACAAACACTGGGGTTGTCTACTTTTGCAAATGGTATGCCATCATGGGGGTAATTCTTATTCCTGGGCTACCATACGCTCTCAAAGGCAACATAACCAATCTGGCATATTTCAATGTCAAAAAAAATGAAATGCAAGCCTTATTTGTGACTCTCTAACTATCCAAAACACCATAAAACCTGTACATGGGGGGTACTGTTATTCCCTGTAGACTTCACTAAACACAAATATTAGTGTTTTAAAACAGTAAAACATATTACAACAATAATATAGTCCATAAAAGTGCCATTTGTTTGTAAAAAATGCAAAAAACTTCACTTTTACTTAAAATATCATCGTTGTAATACAATTTATCATTTTGAAACACTAATATTTGAGTTCAGCGAAGTCTCCTGAGTAAAACAGTACCCCCTATGTACAGGTTTTATGGTGTCTTGGAGAGTTACAGGGTCAAAAATAGTGCTTGCCAATTAAATTCTCTGCACTTTCTCCCTGTGTTGTCAGGCATGTCAACACAGGGAGAATCTTTTAAATATGTTAAAAGATTACTTAAATATACAAGTAGAATTTTAATATATATGCATTTATAGGTATTTAAATTCTACGTGTATACTAATGTAATCTTTTAAGTAATTATATATTTTTTTTTGCAGTTATTTGTATTTTATATATAGATAGATATATACAGAATGTCATTCTACGTGTATTTTGTTAACAATATATATTATATATTTTAATAACAAAATACATTTAGAATGAAATTACATATGTATATATAATTTATATAAAATTTTGTTTCAATATTTTAATTATTGCAATTATATATATATATATCTATTATATATAATATATATACATATTATATATATGTAACGTCATTCTAAGTGTATTTTAATACTAATATATGTACTTCTATTACTATTAAAATACATATATATATATATAAAAATACTTTTAATTTATTTTATAACATGTTTAATTAATTAATTTTTACTTTCCCGCCAGCAGGGGGACTGTCTGATTTTTCAGACAGTCCCCCTGATGGCAGATCCATAGCCAGCCATAGGGGGCCATATGATCGCTCTTTGAGAGCGATCACATGGCCCCGGGGGCCTCACTTGCTGGAGGAGGGCTGCCTGGGCTGTCAGGCAGCCCTCCAGAAGAGTATCGCGGCGGAGGTAAGTACCTCCGATCGCCAGGGGCGTTACGGCGTTCTATGCCGCCGCAACGGCTTTAAAGCCCTTTCAACCCGGGATGGCATAGAACGCCGTAACGGCGTTAAGGGGTTAAAACATTATTTTCCACTATAGGCACTTATCTGCCTTCTTCAGTGTTTACGATGGCCTCTTAGATAATAAAATATGATCAGAATGTTTACTTTTCTGGCTTCCATGTGGGGACGGTTACATTTATTTTAGGCCCTTGTTTTTAAGCAAATTACCTAAAATCATTTTTGTTCAGATGTTGACATAATGGTTGTGTTATGTCAAGTTTTCTTAATAAACGCTACAATAAAAGTTCACATGACAAATATAGGATAAACAAGAAGCAGACTCATTTTGTAGTCTTCAAATATGATCAGTATGTTAATGCTAAATAAATGGAAGAATATGGAGTAGACTCAATGCAGTGCAATCTACAGAGCTTTCCTATATCACTTGACAAGTGTAGAATTGGGAAGAATACTTCTCTTGTGCCAAACTGTATTGCATTTTTTTTACTGCATTAAAGTAACACTTATTTTAGGAATACAAAGATGTATTCCTAACAGCGTGTTCCTCTGCCCCCATGGCGATGTAAAAGGTTAAATAACCCTTATTTAACTTACCAGAAGTTAAGGATTAAATAACCCTTTATTCACGTACCCAATTACAGCGCCAATGTCCCTCGGCAGTGAGTCGCACCCCACCTCCTCTGACGGGGAGGATGTAATGTCCAGTGTAGTTTCACGGAGTTAAACTATGTAAAACTCCAGGAAGCGCCGCTAGTAGCTGCTTGATAGACAGTTACTAAAGGCAGTCTTAGTACTTATTGCAGTTTCTGTAAAACTGCAATGTTTTAGACTGCAGTACTAAGGGGGACAGTGACAGTGCACCCAGACCACTTCAATGAGATTTAAGTGGTCTGGGTGCATATAGTGTACCTTTAAAAAAAAAAAAAAAATACAGAAGAAGTTTACTTGCAGACCTGGAACGAACTGATGGTATAAGACAAATTATATGTAAATGCCTGCTGACAAGTAGCATGGCTAAACAAGGCTTAAAATAAGGTAATGAGTGCTTGGCCGAACGTAACGGATTGTACTAACCAACACAGATCAATAATTTAACTCAGCGGAGTATAAGACAAATACTCTGGACTAAATATGTAGCACAGCCAAATGTACTTAATCAAGATGAAAATGTTGCGTGGCTGAATGTAGTCCACATGTACTGAACCAAATTAAAAAAAACTGTCGCATTAGCAAATGTAGTTTAAATGTGCCAAGCTGAACACAAAAATTAGCACGGCAAAGGTATGACCGGAAAACTAAAAAAAATAAATAAAAAAAATTTACTATGCAGCTTGGCCAAACATAAGACGAAATTACAGAGCCAACACAAGATATACTGTGGCAGAATGTAGGTCGAACGTAATAAACCAGTGAGTATGTAGCACGGTTGAATGTAGGCCATACAAACTGGACCATATAAAAAGTAGGATGGCGAACGTCTACTAAATGTACTGTGCCGAAAAAAAAAAAGTGGCTGAACGTAAGTCTAATTTTGCGCGGCCAAATGTACTGAGCTAGAATGAAAACATAGCGTGGCCGACAGTACAAGTAAAGTGGCCTAACATAGGCTAAATGTACTGAAACCAAATGTAGCGTGTCTGAATGTAGGCCGAATATATGTAGCATGACTGAACGTAGGCCGAATGTACTGCACCAAAATGATAAGTAGTGTGGACGAATGTAAGCCAAATGTACTGAAATGGTCAGGAACATATTTTTGTTATTGTCTTCTTAAATAATTCTGTTCTTTCCCTTTAAGTTCATAGGTCCGCTGACAATAAACAGCCTATTATCATGCTACTTTGCCTTGCATGCTGCTACAGACTAATTTTTCAAGTCACAGAAACTCCAGAGAAACTCAAAACTGATTTTCCACTTACTTTCATAATCTACAAATGTTATCCTTACACTCACCTTCTTTCTGGTATTTCTCCAATGGACTTCATATATGTCCAACTCAGCTGCTGAAAGCTAAACAAACTCTTTTTTGCACTCAGCTAGAGCCAGACAGTTAATTTGCCTGTATCTGTTTTTTTCCACATGGAATTACTGACTTGGGTAAATTCCCAATTTCTGTTTCTTTCTTACATTTTAACAAACTGCTATGAACTTTTGTTTTTTTCCCTAATAATAAGTGACTAAGCTACAAGGTGAAACAACCTATTTTATTTAGCGAGGACTGCTTTCTTTTTTGTTTTATATTGTCAAAATCAGGTTCTGATGAAGAAAAAAAAAAAAAGACCTTCAAGTTTATTTTATCAAATTTTTGACAATAAAAGTCTCTGTAATCTGGAGTGTATATGACAGAAACATAGTTAATATGTAGCGCAGTTGAACACATTGAAACCATGGTAAGTAGCATGGCTGAACATAGATCAAATGTCCTTGAAGTGCCATGAATATGTAGCGCAGCCTAACGTAGGACGAAAGTAAATATACACACTTTAGATGTAGCATGGGTGAACGTACTGAAATACAGTTAATATTTAAAGGACCACTATAGTGCCAGGAAAACAAACTCATTATCCTGGCACGGTAGGGTCATTAGGTCCCCCCACCCACCTTTCGGTTGGTGACCTGTCCTCCTACTGCCGACAAATGCGCATGCAAACCGCCCATAGGAAACCATTTCTCAATGCTTTCCTATGGACGTCCAGCGACTTCTCACTGTGATTTTCACAGTGAGAATCGCGGAAGCGCCTCCAGCGGATTAACCCTCAATGCAAAAATAGCAGTTTCTCTGAAACTACTATGTTTACAGCTGCAGGGTTAAAACCTGGGGGACCTGGCACCCACACCACTTCACTGAGCTGAAGTGGTCTGGGTGCCTATAGTGGTCCGGGTGCCTATAGTGGTCCTTTAACGTGGCCGAATGTATTACAACACATTGAATATGTAGCAGGGCCGAACAAAGGCTCTTTTTTACCAACATGAACGGATTGCCATCATAAGTTGGGAAGCTTGCAAATCAAAAGTTGTGTGCGGTAACCTAGCAACCAGGTTTCAAAACTGGCAGAAAGTCAGTAGTAAGGTGGAAAGAGAGTAGATATAGGCCAGTAAAATAGTTAAAAAAATAAATCAACTCCAGGCAAACTGCTTCTTCTGGACTATTCGCTTGTTTTTCCCTCTCTCTCCCCCCTCTCACTCTGTGATCTTCACATATTTATGACCCTCTGCAAGAATAGTGTCTATGTTCTATCAAACCTGTGTCTTATCTGCACTTGTATCGTTAACCCCTGTATCACAGCTCAACTTAGAATTCTATGTCATCTTGTTCAGAAATACTTCAGACTTGAGAAAGGGAGGTTCTCCGGAAAGCTTGCCATTAATAAAATTCTGTTAGTCCAATAAAAAAGGTGTTACAAGATACGAATTTTATCTGGATGCACACCCCACCTCCCCCTCAGGGAATTATTTATTTGTAATGCAATCTGGGTGAACACCGTGTGCCTATATCACACCAAATCAAAAAAATATAACAAAAAAAAAAAACCCCAGCAGGATACAAACAAACCAGCAGCAGAGATTGAATGATACATGAAGTCCACATTCTGCTGGAGAGCACTTTCAGGCTCTGTCCAAAAAGGATAAAGAATTAACAATAAAATTGTGTCAAGCAGTCACACTGGAACTCTAATGAACACACTTGCTTTATACCATAACCACTTCACCACCTCACTAAACAGAATATACACATCTGTTAGAGCAGTGTATACATGTATAGAGTGGTGTGTGTGTATTCTCATGGTTTCTATCAAAGTTATTTATATTATATCCTACATTTATTATATCTATATCCTACATTATATATTATATCTATAGCCTACATTTATTATATATCTATATCCTACATTTATTATATATATATATCCTACATTATATATCTATATCCTACATTTATTATATATTATATCCTACATTTATTATATATTATATTATATATCCTACATTTATTATATATTATATATCCTACATTTATTATATATTATATATCCTACATTTATTATATCTATATCCTACATTATATATATATCCTACATTATATATATATCCTACATTTATTATATATATCTATATCCTACATTTATTATATATCTATATCCTACATTTATTATATATATCTATATCCTACATTTATTATATATCCTACATTATATATTATATATCTATATCCTACATTTATTATATTATATAGTATATGCAGGGATTGCTGAGCAGTGACAGGCACCATGCCACACAGATCTATAGCTGGCACAGTAAGGGCACCCTCTCCTCACCGGATAACCCGCTCCTTGGCTTGGCTCTGCCCGCTGAAGCGGACCCAGGAATCCATGAGATATGGTCGGTGTCCCCGGGGCCGCACACGCTGTCTGAGAGTTTAAAGATCACATTAGAGAGCAGCACTTCCGGCATAGGGGACGGACGGACGGAGCCCGGCAGCGACCAAACCTCCTGACACCTGGAAACGCGTTCTGTGCCAGGCTGCCTGTGGATAGTACACCTTCTGAAGGGACATAAGTGTTAGATACACCAGTACACCTCTCATACAGATTACACTTCTTATTTTTTTTTTCCATCTTCATTTAAATAGTACCACAACCCCAAAATATAACTAAAAAATAAATTCATACATGCCAACAATCCCAAGTTCAGTGGGCAGTCCTAATAAACAGTTTTTTGTTTTTTTTAATGTCCCAGTTCTGGGAACACCTAGCATTTTTTATTCACTGCGCAAACCTTAAAGGAACACTAAAGCGTTAGGAAAACAAACATGTCCCTGAACATAAAATACAGTTGTGACAGAGAATTGGTCAGTGTGGTGGTAGTCCCTCTAGTGGTTGTCAGTATGAGAGTTACTAGAAGTCACTAGAAATTGATTTATTTATTTTTTTAAATCACATTTTTTGTTGTTATTGCAATGTTTTTTGTTGTCAATCAAGTTTTTTATTGAGTGGATATAATAAAGCGTATGCCATATATCATGCATGGCATGCACAGCAAATATGCCATTACTATGCACAGAAATCTTCCATACAGTTATAATAGTCACTCTTTTTTTAAAGTAAATTAACAAACAAAATAAAAATGAATTAAGTAAGTGTAAACAGCAATAACATTCACTGGGCATATTGTGAACAGACTAAACAGTGTATAAAACAGGTTCATTATACTAGGACAATGATGGCGAACATATGGCACGCATGCCAAAGGTGGCACACCGGGCCCTTTCTGTGGCCACGCGGCCATAGGTTCCCCATCAATGCAGAGTAGGCACCTACTCTGCTTCCGTGTCGGGAGGCAGGGGGAGGGATCTGTGAAGCAGCTCCCCTGTCCTCCCACGCGATGCTGTGTGGAGCGTTGCCGCGCGTTACCATGGCAATGCTCCACACAGCATCGCGCGGGAGGACAGGAGCTGCTTCACAGATCCCTCCCCCTTCCTCCAGACCTGGAAGCAGTACTTACCACCACCGGACCACCAGGGATGGCTGTCCCCCCCCTCCTTCATTAAAGGTAAGCAGGAAGGAGGGGGGATACAAATTTAGTATAACGTTTTTTTAACCACCCCGTCCCCCCACACAGCATCCCAACCCCCCCACACAGCACCCCTACCCCCAACACACACAGAGCACCCCTACCCCCAACACACACACAGCACCCATACCCCACACAAAGCACCCCTCCCACACACAGCACCCCTACCCCCAACACACACAGTTCCCCTACCCTCCACAGAGTACCCCTACCCACACAGAGCATCCCTCCCACACACACACAGCACCACTACCCACAACACACACACAGCACCCCTCACACACACACAGCACCCTTACCCCCACAACACACACATAGCACCCCTACCCCCACAACACACACACAGCACTCCTACCCCTCAACCCACAGAGTACTCCTACCCACATAGCACCCCTACCCAACACACACACACAGCACCCCTACCCTCCCCACAGAGTACTGCTACACACACACAGCACCCCCTACCCTCAACACACACACACAGCACCCCTACTCCACAGAGTACTGCTACACACACACAGCACCCCTACATACCCCCACAGAGTACTGCTACACACACACAGCACTCTACCTCAACACACACACAGCCCCTCTATACCCCCCACACACACACAGCTCACCTACCCCCCACAGAGTACCCCTACCCACACACAGCACCCCTACCCCCAACACACACAGCCCCCCTACCCAGGGGCGTTTTAGCCGCGAGGCAAACAAGGCATTTGCCTTGGGCGGCATTTTCCAGGGGGCGGCAAAAAAAGCCGCCCCCAAATGCCCAGGGCAAATGCCTTGTTAGCCTTGTGGCTAACAGACATGCTGGGCTGGTTGCCGGGCTGGGCGGGCGGCTGGCGAGGGAGCTCTTCCTCTGAGCTCTCTGCTCAGCTCCCAGCCGCAGAGTGAGGCTGGGAGCCAGAATATGACGTCATCAACCCGGCTCCCAGCCTCACTCTGTGGCGCGCAAGGGAGCTGAGCAGAGAGCTCAGAGGAAAAGCTCCCTCGCCAGCCGCCCGCCCAGCAGCCACTGGACCACCAGGAAGATAGAGAACCCTCCCCCCCAAGCATTCCCAAAGGTAAGGAGGCTGGGGGGGGTGTTAAATCAATAAATAAATATGTTAATTTGAGTGAGTGTGTGTATATGTCTGTTAGTGTGTGTGTGTCTGATAGTGAGTGTGTGTGTCTGTTAATGTGTGTCTGTTAGTGTGTGTGTGTCTGTTAATGTGTGTCTGTTAGCGAGTGTGTGTTTCTGTTAGCTAGTGTATGCATATCTGTCAGTGTGTGTGTGTGTGTATTTAGAAGGCGGGGCGGGGGGAAGGGTTGGGTGGGGGTGGCGCGGCGGGGGAGGGGGCGCCTGAGTTTTGTCCTGCCTAGGGCAGCACAAAACCAGGATACACCACTGCCCCTACCCCCCACAGAGTACCCCTACCCACACAGAGCTCCCCCCCCCACACACACAGGCCCCCTAACCCCCACAGAGTACCCCTACCCACACACACACTGCACCCCTACCCCCAGCAAACACAGCCCCTCTTCCCCCCACAGAGTACCCCTACTCCCACAGAGCACCCCTCCCACACAAACACAGCACCCCTACACACACACACAGCACCCCTATCCACAACACACACAGCACCCCAACAACACACACATACACTGCATCCCTCAATGCAGTATGTGTGTGTGTATTCGGCAGTCTGTGTGTGTGTATGTGTGTATATTCAGCAGTCTGTGTGTCTGTGTGTGTGTGTGTACAGCAATCTGCGTGTGTGTGTTCAGCAGTGTATGTGTACTCAGCAGTGTATGTGTATTCAGCGGACTGTGTGTACTCAGCAGTCTGTCTGTATGTGTATTCAGCAGTCTGTGTGTGTATTCAGCAGGCTGTGTGTGTATGTATTGCATTTGTTGGAGATACTAATAAATATAAGCTTAAATTGATCTATTTATTATCATTGAACTCTCTGTTGTGTTCGTCTTTTAAAACAAAAGTTGTTAATTAATTCGGACAACAGTACAAGTTGTTTTTTCTAAATTTAAACATCAGTATTCAGGTTTAATTGCCATGTTGGGAGGGGCGGAGCTTGCTACCGCACGGCACCAGACGCCATTTTCACTAACTCCCGACAAAACGATCTAATCTGGGCAATATCCTAGAAACTGGCACCCATCCAGGCTTACCAACCACACAGCCAGAACCAGCAAGATAAGAGGCACCGATAGATGCCATTTTTACAACCCCAAAAGCTGCCTAAGCGGAAGCACAAATCCAGGGCCTACCTCACACCCGCGATCCGGGACCTGGAGGAACTCCTGCTTCGGCCGCGGACAGAGAGAGAGGGGCTTCCACTAACCCCCTCACCAACCGAAACACCAGCTCACTTGCCGACAATGGGGCGCAGATCCCAGAAACCAGCGGCAGACGGCAGAGACATAAGCGCGCTGCTGCAACGCCCGGCGCAGCCACGTCCCGCACCCATACCCGCGGGAGATGAGGGGGAAACAAACCACACTCCTCACCCAGTGCAGGGGAGGTCAGAGACACCTCCGACCACGCGGACAGCACTGATACAGCAGCCTGAATCCCATGCCGATGCTGCACCAGCCACCAAGGGTGATCTAAAACTCCTGCTCGCTGACATACACAAGCTCTTGGCAGATGACACAGCCCTCCTCAAGACAGAGGTGCAAGCGGCCACGGAACGGGTAAAAGCTGTAGAACAAGACGTGGTGGAGGTCCAAACGCACCTAACAACACTGGATGAACAGGTACAAAATATACAGCTTCACCAAAAACTCATGGCACTCAAAATGGCCACCATAGAGGATCGACAAAGGCGCACACACATAAAAATTAGGGGGATTCCGAACGCAATCACAGCAGAGGAAGTGCCTTACTACATCAGGCGCCTCCTGTCCAGTATACTTCCTCACGCAGCTGCAAAGAAAATCTCCATAGATGGAATCTACAGGCTCCCGACCTACACACGCCTGAGATCCCCTGCGGCTAGAGACGTCATCCTAAGATGTGTCACAGTCCAGGATAAGCTCCACATCATGGCGGCGCTCAAGGACCGAACACCACTACCCTTTGAGGAGTCAGAGCTAACCTTTTACCAGGACTTATCAAGGGCCACGCTACTATGGCGTAAATCGTATGGCCCGGCCACCACACAGCTACGTGCTGCAGGTATAGCCTACAGGTGGGGAGCGGGGGGTTCCCTGGAAGTTACCTGCGCAGGGACAACACAAGTCCTCACTTCGCCAGATGAAGCCTCCAACTACCTGAAAACCCTCAACCTGCCGAACCAGGCTCCGAAACGCCACGGAGAGCACAAGGAGCACATGACTGCCTCACCTCACACCCCGGGAACAAGTGGACTGGGGGCTCAGGTTCCGCGAACACTTGCCGGGTAGCAAAACCCAAGAGCAGACCAAGTCCGAATATTATCCCACACACCGGCATTACCCCAACAAAGGAGAAACTCCCAGATATTACCTTAATGTTTCATGTTTACTATATGTTTTTGTTGGTTTTTTTTTTCTTCTTATTTCTCTTCTGAGCTGACTAACTCACGGACACTCAGGTCCCTGGGCCTATAACCCACATAGACATAAAGCCCTATGACCCTGACTACCACACGGAATGGACAACACAGTAGAAGCCCTGACAGGTGACTAGTCCCCATAAACACGCATCTCCTGCCCCCCCCGCCACCCCCTTGGTAAGGGGTCCTCAACCTCACTGCTGAGGCAGAGCAAGACACCCCCAACGACAACACAGGTACAGCTATGCCAGACACGAACACAAAACATGTGTCCCAGGCTTATAATACACACAGCATGTTAGACATGAACGTGGAAGAACAATATAACCACAATGCCCCTCTGAGAGCA